TATCAGCTGGGCTCTTTACAGACAAAAACCTCTCTCTGGGTCTCAGTGGGCAAAGAGCCCTGACATCTGGGTGATGGGGATAATCTCCTGGGCTCTGTCCGCCTCTTCAAAGGAGGACTGGACACAACCAAGTCTTATTGGCTAGTTACCTCGGGTCATGAGCAGGCCAGGTCCTAATTCATGTAGCTGACATTGGAATGTGGTAACAAATGGTGTGTGTATGTGTTGACTTAATCATCATCAAAGTGTTTGATGTTCACTTTTACTTAGACAAATCCACTTTTTCCTCAGGGGCAGAAAAAAGTAATATCGTAATTTGTTGGGAGTTCATGCACTGAGTTGCTCTTTGAGTTTGTTCTTTGAGCAAGGTGATGTTCATGTACGACTCATTTTGTGCACCAGTAAAAAAACATATACCGATATATTTGGGGAAAAATGTATTATTTATCACTATTGTTCAGTGTAATGCGCATATGAAACTGGTGGGTTTGGCACCTCAAAAAGGGTTCTTAGCCTTTTATAACTGTGTTATAATAAAGAATAACTAAAAAGGGCTGTTTCTGCAAAACAGCTGTGAGAACGCCTAAAGCTGAAGGGAGGCGCCAGAAGATGCCAAAGAAAAGCAGAAAAAGACTAAAAGATAGAAACAATCAGCACAAGAGAAAACTAAAATGTGGCAAAAAGTCAGTGGAAAGTAAACGAACAATGGCTGAAGGATACTTTAAAGTTAACCCGAAGATAGGAATAAAAAAGGCAAAAGGATTAGAAGAAGAAAAAAAATTGTAAAAAGCCTTGACATTTTCATTAAGATACCAAAAGGTTCTAATTGATAGGAAAAGGGGAAACATTGGCTGAAAAAACAGATGTAAGCTGAACAAATTAGAAGCTCAAACACACATGAATCCAAGTTAAATGGAGTTTCACATCTAGCTAAACAGTAATGAGGAAGGTGTGAGGGCTCCAGGCTTTAGCCCTGTGTGGGGCAGGATACTGTGTTTGTCTTGTTTTTATTGCAGGAAAGAAGCAGCCAGTTAATTAAGTTGACTGGGAGCATCTGGCCAGTGTTCCCAGTCAGGCCTATTTAAGCCGCCTTTCCAGATGCCCACTGGCTGGCTCTGCTGTTGTCCTTTTTGTTATTTATCTTAATAATTATTAATTTGGTTGACCACAAACTTGTGCTGCACCTCCTCCTTTGTTTGGGCCTGGAGATGGTGGTAACAAATTGGGGGCTCCTCAGATTGTTGTAGGTTAGAGTGCCTTTTGGTGGGCTAATCCACTTTAGTTTGTCACTGGTACCGCCTTTGTCTCGGATGGAATTTGGCGTCTGAGTTTGAGTAATTGGTAGCGTGTGGCAGTGATTGAAGGAGGTCGATTGAGGAGGTGTGGAGCCCGAGCGCACAGGTGTTTTGTTTTGAGGTTGTTTTCATTCAGGCTTAAGGGGTCTTTGCCGGAGTGGAGAGAGGTGAGTCTTGGTTTAAATGTGTTTTGTTTTCTTGGAGTTTTTCCTGGTAGGATTAGCGACGTCTCTCCTTTGGGACTCGTCGGTGGGGGTTTGTTAGTGTTGGGGTACAGTGGTTCAGAGCATCCCTTTCCCTTTTTCCTTAATCTGGCTCAGGAGCACTGCCCGTGGTTTCGGGATGGTGGCCAGTTCACTGGTTGCTACTTTGGGGCCAGCGGGCTTTAGGTACCCGCCACTACGCCTCATGAAGACTAGGGGGGAGTTATCCTAGTTAGATTTGGGTGAGGCAGTTAGCTAGCGGAAAAACTCCAATCTGTGGTCGTAGGTCGTAAAGCACACAGGTGGGTCTAAACTTTTTTTTTTTTTTTTTCCTCCCTGTTTCCATCTCTCAAGTGTGCGGTTATGGATGATATTGTCAAAGCGTTTTTGGACAGTCTGTCTGAGCAGCTTTTGGACGAGTGGTCAAGGTATCAGTTGGTTGTTTATTATAAAGTTGATGTGGGTGATAGATGGGTTAAGGAGTCAATTGGGGCAAGTTTCAAATTGCACTTGTTTAAAATAAAGGTTTTGAACACGGTAAAAGAAACTGCCTCTTTGAGTGACTCGTGTCCACCCAGGGCTATGGCTATTCTGGCCACTAGGGACCGCTGTTGGACACCTGTCTGTCATGTGGTCTGGCTTCCTCCCTCTCGTTGTGGCTCCCTCCTCTGCCATCTGTTTTCTATTTGTGCGATTAGTCCGTATTTAAGCTCTGGGTTTTCTTTGTTAGATACTGAGTCTTTGTCTTGTTTCCATGTCCCTGGTGAGCTACTCTGTATTTTTTGTGGTACTTTGTTCTGGGATGTTAATGCCCCATTCCTAGTGATGCAAGCACTGAAGCGTTCCATCCAATTGGTTCACTTCATTTGCCCTATTGTGCCATCAAGTGGACAATAAATGTAAAACGTGCAGTGTGATTATAGTGAGACTCTGGATTTGGTGTCTGAAGCACTAAATCAATCTGTTTGGGATGCTTATGCATAAATGATCAACTTATATTTGGTGTCTGTCATTATGATACACTGACGGTGTCAAAATGAGAGCGTTTTTATGTGAATGTGCTTGTTTTTTTAATGTGCTGACACAATCAGCATTCATTTTCATTTAAAAATAACTTATTCACAGTACTAGGCTTCAGACAGTTTAATTTATTTGAGATTATTTCACCTGCTTTAGAAAATACCCTTTCACAAGGCACAGATGAAGCTGGGGTACAGAGAAAAGTATTAGCAAGTTTGGATAAGTTGGGATATACTTTTTTTCTCTCTTTCCAAATATTCCAGGGGGTTCTCCACTCTGGAGATGTTTGGTTCCCCCAAGTCCTTCTGGACCTCCACTGTTGCATCTGCAGTAACATTTTGAGCCCTGGTCTGCAGGACTGTGGGCCCAAACGATGCCACAGTTAGCTTCCCAAGACAGACACACAGGCTGTAACAGACTAAATACAATAATTAATAATTATTACACAACAATCAGAATATATGCAGTATCTATTACCTTGAGTCACAGGCTGAGAAACTTCTGGTGTGTGTGGTTGTGAGGAGGACGAGGGGGAGGACGGGTTGTTTCGAATAATGGCAGCACATTCAGCTGTGAGTCTCTTCTCGGCCTATGCTGCTTTACTTGGGCTAAAGAAGCCTATCTTTTTTAATCTGGGATCTTGCAGTGTCGCCAGTGACATTATGCTCATGGATTGCAGCGTGAACAGCTTCTCCTGTAATTGTCTCTTCAGACTCTCAGCCATTATTTTTCTCTCTGGAGTTTGGAGGGTTCTCATTTCCTCCTCCAGTGCGTGGTGTAGCATTGACAGAAGGGGGATTACTTTAGATCCAGATACCCTTTTCTCCTCTGACAGCTCCACCGTGGCATCATTAAATGGGGATAGCACTTTTAGGGATTCTGCAATAATACTGTACTGTTCTGATGACAGTGGGGCTACATCAGTGCGTATACCTGCCAAAGCTGCTCCTCCAGGTTCCCTGAGCTCATAAACACGTCGGAGCATTTGGTATGTTCTGTTTCAACGTGAGTCCACTTCCTGAACCAGCTTCAGGGCCGGCTGTCCCATTTGCTCCTGCACCTGTGTCAGCCTCTCCTCGAAAATTAGCAATCAAAAAGTGATCAATGCAAGTGTCACTGCAGCAGCACAAAACGGTGTCATTTAGGAAATTGCAATGAAATGAAGAACTTCACCTTTGCAGTGGTGCTGCTCTTGAAATGGCCCACTATCTTCCTTGAGTTTGCCCAGATGACAGACAGCACACGGCTTTGGTCATCTGCCTTTTTTACAAGTCAATTCAAAGTATGCGCCACACAATTTGACGCAAACGAAGCTCCGTGGCACAAGCCCCCATGTTTCCTGCACCATCAGTCACAAGGCAAGTAACTTTGTTTGTGATACCCCACTCTGACATAAGTGCTGCTTTTACTTGTGCCAAATTCTCAGCAGTATGTGCCTCAGGGAAATACAGCACCCCTAAAACAACAGACTGTAAAGAGGTGCTTGCATCTATAAAATGGCATGTCACAGCGAGATGTGCATCGGTGTTTATAGAGGTCCACATATCTGATGTTAAGCTAACTGCTGAAGCCTTCAACACCAAGGCTTTGGCTTTCTGCTTGGATTCCTTATATTTGTCCTCCACCATAGCTTTCAAAGCCTAAAGGAAAGAAGAGAACATTCTTGGAATAGCAAATATGGGGGGAAAAATGAAAAAAATATGTGTTCACTTCAAGATGAACGAAATGCAGA